CTGTCCGCTGCACTCCTACCAGCCCCTACTCCCACGGTGGATACTAAAAATCCTGCATGACCCTAAATACCCTAAACCTTGGGAAAAATGGTACTATAATATACTAAGGTCATGCAGGATTTTTAGTATCAGCAGTATCTGCAGCGCTCCTGAGCCCTCCGCGACGCACAGAGAGTTGGATGGCAAGGACCTTTGTCAAGGCAACCACAGCTTTGCGTGAGCACATCTACGACGGAGGGTGACATTGGCAAAGCAGTTTTCACGTACCTGATTCAAGCAATTGCACGCACGAAAATAAAGGCTTGCTCACGGCTAACTCAAAGGCCTACTCCCTTAACCTAAACCAGCGCTCTCACTTGCAATCACGCAGAGTCTCCCACTTGGTTATTCGGAGAGCTCGAAGATGACGAGAAAGCACCTGAGCCAAGACATCGGGGCCTGGGGCTTCCGGCAGCAGAGGCGGGGAACTCCTACCCTACTCCTACCGCTACCTGCAGACGCAAACACTCCTGTGTAGGGGCGAGAGGCTTAAGGGAAACCTAAAGGGTTAGGCCTAAACCTTCGCACTCCCAAGCAGACACTCAGAACCCACCACGCGGTTCAGAGATGTCGAAGATGAGCCCAAATCCCCAAAGACCAAAACCCCTCAACCCCCAACCCCAACACAGTCTTGGGCCGTGACTACCTTCAATTTCATGAGGCCGAGCTGTGAGGTCTCCTCTTCTGCGGGACCTTGCTTGGAGGTTCAAGCTCAAAAGCTAAGCGTTTGGGGTGAGGGGTCCTGTAGTATGGGGACATTTAGGGGGATACTGTTTTTAGTAGAGGGGTAGTAAACTCCCACAATAATAGTGTCAGGGTGGCATTGAAGGCAAACTCCAGTTCAAAAGTCACTTTCCTTTGTGAGTAACACAAGAGCGACAGTGCTCCCTGACCGACCCGCGCCCAGAACAATCTCAGACGAAAATCTGGTTTGTTGTTTTGTAATTTCCGGCGTTCTACCACGCGCCGCGCGAGAGCCAGTGTCGAGCGCGGTGCCCATCACAACCAAGCGAAAGCTTCTTAGAAGAAATGTGCGGTTCTCATTTTGTCATGCACCCAAGTCTGCATACAGCGTACCCAGTCTCCGTGACAAAATGGCAGAATGACAAGATGACAACACCTGGAGAAAAAACTTAGGAAAATTTCGTCCGCTCAGCTCTGAGAATCCAAGTCTGCGTGCAGCGGTGCCCATTCCCTATGACAGAATGACAAGAACGACGAGAATGACAGGTGACAAACCTCCTGCCAGTGCTCAGTCCTCGCACAAACTGCTCATCACCGCATGACAGACATGACAGAAAAGGCAGGAAAACACAAGTTTGACCAAACTTCCGGAAGGAAATCTTTTATCCAGTTCAGCACTGGGAGTGCCAGTTGGCAGCCCATCTGCCACGCTAGAACTAATGACAGAAAGAACGAAAGTGACGGAATGATAAAACTTCTCGCGCAAATTCTTAGCTACAGCCCATCTGCGATGACAAGAATGACGGAACTGACAGAAGGACGAAACTTCTCGACAGAATGTTCATCCGCTCGGCGGCTGCCTGAGTCAAGCCCCGGCAGCACACTCTCTTCTCCAAGCAGGCCCCAAGAATGCTACCCCCTTCAAGCCCTAGAGAAACCTAGAACGCTTAAGCCTCCTTCTGCGAGCTCTGGTACGTTGGCCAACCAGCCGGACCTTGCTCTGTGGTGCCCTGCTACGCCCCACCATCCCTGCAAGCTGCATCAACCAACCCGTCCGGTTGACGTAGTTTTGTCTGAGCGCGAAGAAGTAGGGCAGCATTTGGTCAGATGGGCATCGCATGTGTTCTCCCCCTTCAGAGTCTCTTGGGCATGACGTTGACGACAAGGACCCATGAAGCCGATTACAACACCAGAATGCCCACACAGAACGCACCACCCTCACAATTGAGCATCCTCCCCGGCATCAACGTCAACAGGCGCCACAACCTCGTAGAGCTGGCGACATCGGCCGGCACAAGAGCCCTTCGCTGCAAGAAAAGCTAAGTGTCACCACGTCAACAGTGTTTGACAGGCGCAAAATATCCAAACTATGCGAAAGAAGTCCCAGCTTGATCCCTGAAGGCGCAGGAGAACTTGCGTATGGCATGGCGGCGAGGCCAGCCAAAACGATGGCACGAACGACTTGCCTGCACAAGAGGAATGCAGCCCAATGGATCTTGGACCTAAGCCCTGCACCCCAACAACGATGCTCCAAGCCGCTCCTTGGCAGCCTCCACAGAAGCGATCTGACCAAAAAGTGAAATAAAGAGCCCAGAAAGCAAGGCAGCCTACTAATCGCAAGGCAAAGATGATGAATATGATGAATACACACCTCAACGCCCTGCTGAAAATCCTTAAGGAGAAACCCAAAGATGGGCTGGGCTTGGCCTAAATTAAACTCGACAGCTTGCAGCGCAGTCAATGCTCCAGCCTGCGAAGAGAAGAAGAAGATGCTCAGGCCTGGACAGTTTGATTGAGCTTGACATTTGGGTTTTCCTGAAACTACCTGCAAGCGTCTGCTCCACAGCGAGATTCAACGACACAAATGAACAACAAAAAAACTTCTCGCATGTGCAAAGTGTCAACTCAAAAAAATTCAGGCAACCCTACTCCAAACAAGCCGACCGCAAACTTAAAACTCCTAATGCGCGTAAGACGACCTGGCCCACATGCAAGGAAGCGCTCGATGCATCGGACCTGGGCGCAACGCGGCATTCCTCCACACGAAACTGCCACAAAGCATTCGTAGACAAACCTACCACAAAACACTCATTCCGCAGAGCACTCCGAGTCTACCACGAAAAGTTCATAGCACTCTTATGCAACACAATCTGGCAGGCGCACGCACCAAGAAAGGCTTGGACCGATCTCGGTCCTGGGTTTGGGCGAACCACACACCCTTTTGCAAAGTCTTACCGCACGCACAACGGAGAGGCTTACCACAAAGCAATCTTACCAACAAAGAAAAAAATCCCACACAGACGAACCTACCTGCAAAACCCACAATGGCTGTGGTGTCAATCGTGCAAATAAAGTTTCAACGCTTCAAAGCATGCGAAGCTACAGGGGCACCGATTTACCACAACCCACTTGCAAAACAACACAAACCTGCCACAGCCCGGTTGCAAAAGCACAGACACACTTCCTTCAACCGAGCCCCGTACGCAGTCTGCTGAATACCGTTTAACAGTGGCCCACACGCTGTGCGCCTGTCCTGTTTGTGTCTGCTGTGTCGTGTTGTGCCTGCATTTGCGTCATGTCCAAAGCGTTCCTGCCTGTGTGCTGCTTGCGCCTCCTGTGTCCCTACTCCTCTACTGTTCTTCGGGGGTACGGCGCGGAAGAACAAAAGGCAAGCTTCAAAGAAGACAATCATTGCAACACAACAAAAAAGATCCAATGTCCAATGCAAAATTTGGCCCAAAAAACATACTAAAAACATCTTAAACATGTGAAAACATCATGCAGGAAATTCAAGCCTCTCTTTCCAGTGCCCTGGTTTCCTTTGCCGGCCTCATGCCACAAATTTTCTGAAGCCAAACATTTCATGAGAGTTTATCCCCCTTCCCAACATCAACATTAAGTAATCACAACACATGGGCTCATTACTTAGTGTTGAACTTCCACAGAGAACCAGAAACAAACGAAAGCAAAGCAAGCGGACAGAGTAATCTTTTTTGTCTTGGCGAGTTGCTGGGATCATTCATCCTCTCCATCCAGTAGGGATGGAGAGGTAAGCAAAAGCAAGCAATGACAGCAAGATAGATCACAGTACGCCCCTTCAGTATGCGGTGAAGTATCAAAGCAACAGCGTACATAACTGCACCAGAAGCAGAGTAGGAAGCAACAGCGAAGCGAATATTAAAACCCAGGAGTGGGTGGGCGGGTGAAAAGAAAGCTTAGCTAAGCAAAAGCGTGTGGAAGTGAACCCTTTGAGCCCAAAGCTTTCAGCAACACAAAGTAAGAAACTGTTCTTTCAGAGGCAGCGAGAACATCTCACCAGGCGTGTCACTTCACATACCGGTCGGTATGCGGCTCTTCTATTGAGAGTTGTCTTCTGCCGCACTATCCGTTCCGAGGAACCAAGCGATAGTGCCGGTGCCTACAATGAGGTGTCCTCAGTGAAACACTGGGAATCCTAAGATGCAAATCAAAAGAGACATCTGTACATTTGCATCCGGAGGTGACCTCCCTACGGTTGCTCAAATCTGGGCATGAGCAAGGCACACGAGATAGCAGTTAGTTTCAACTTCAGAAAGAGAGCGAAGCTTTTTGAGCTTCTGACCGTCATCATGGACCCAAGCTTGGTCATTCCAAAAAATTACAGCCTGATAATGCCCAGAAGTGAAGCTCTCACCCCTGTGGATGATGGCAGCGCTCAAGCGATACCTCTGCCACGTGAGCGCGATTGAGTCAGGAGCAGTGAAGACAGGCATTTCAACATGTGTGTCCAACTTGATGGGAGTATGATTCCGCGTGTCCCCTGCATTCCCCATGCGGTTCAGCTGGAGCGTGATGCACGCGGGTGTGTCCGTCAACGCATGCATCCCCACCTGGGCGTGCCAGGCTTGCATGGCGCAGCCAGGGTTTGATTAGGAATTAATACTTGGTGCAGTGGAAGCGGCCAAGTGATGCCCCGATCTCTCACTTGGACTCCTGCATGTGTATTCTGGAGCGCCACCCTCCTAAGTACGCAGGATGCTGAAAGTGTCCCTTGTCACTCGAGAAAGCAATGAACTCAGCCACATCATGCTATGATGAGGGTCTAGCCCATCCGCGTGTTCAAGTGGACCATGCGATATCCGACCATAAGAGCTTCCTTGACCTCCTGAGGAGACGACTCAAAAAGCTGTCTAGCTCTGCAGTAGCGCACGCATGAATGGTGCAGTGGAGGTGCAGGAGTACAGTAACCACAGAGTTAGCATAGCAATGGTTGGAATGATTGAGGAGGCATAGGTCCTTCAGCGGACGGCCTTGTCCAGTGCCTGAGCTAGAGGGGAACGTTGGATGCGCTCGAAGTGGAGGTGCCCTCCCACCAGATGAATTGCCGCGCTGTGAACCATCTGGCTGAGGATCTCGTAGGCTTCCTAAGCGTGTGCTCCGCGACTCGAGATCTCTAGCAGGAATGGTACGACCTCCTTTGTCATCTGCGCCGTGTGTTTTCTTGAGGCATGAAATCTGGTCACCAGTCTTGGCCTGAGAATCAACTCCTGCAGCTTGGTGATGGCCCTGCAGGTGTCCTGCGGAGGGGTTGGCTCCACATTCGGCATTCCTGCACGGTCGTAGCCCAGGAAGGCGAAGTGTCCCTTGTCTGTCAGGATCTGGGCATTCTTGCTGTCCCCTGCTGCCTGTGGATCTGTCATCACTTTTTCCACCCTGGTCTTCAGCGCTGTGAGGAAGCTTCCCAGCAGCACCACTCGCAAGGGCAAGCCAGGACTTGATGGATCCTTGTCCTTTTGTTGCCCCCAGGTTTGCCCCACCTGATGGAGCTGAGGGAGGACGCTCAATGGCGTTTGTATTCGCAGGAATAGTACAAAGCCCGTGTCCTGTCGTACTAGCTGTAGTTGGTCTTCGTGCCTCAGCCCCAGCTGCGCCACCATCTGCACGAGGTGCTGTAAGTTGGGCTCGTGATTGTCCTGATCCATGGTCTGGGACCTTCCCTGCCCCGAGCCTCGCCCCCTTCCCTTGACTCCCTGCTGACGGGTTTTGGGAGGTGGCCTCCTGCGCGGCTGTTCCTCCACTTCCTGTCGGAAGGCACTTGAGCCGTGCGTGGCGCTGAGGCAGGCGAGCCTTCACATTGGCACGCTGCTGAACAATATGCGATTCAGAAATCTGGGCTTCGTTAGAAATAAGCCGCAGACAGGGTGTGGACTGAGTCCGCGAGTTGAACCAAGGACTGCTCACGGGCTTGCTGCAGCATAGTGGGGTCCTGACAGAGAGGTGGTGGGTCAGGTTCACGATCCCGCATGTTCCTCACCAAGGTGAAGGACTGGACAGCATTGTCTACTGAGATGTGACATGAAGGCCGGCCACGCAGAGAAGCGGTGGCCGCAATGTTTACATTGCGGGAGGCCTCCGACACAGTGCTGCATATGATCATCATCCCTATACCCTCACGCGCTGCTTGCGCTCCATCTGCTGTTCCTTGGTGCGCTGCTGATGCACTTTGGTGTGATGAAACTTCAGGGCAGCCGGGCCCTGGAACCCCAGTCAACAGATGTCACACGTTATCTGCTGTTTCGGTGCGGACCTATGAACCTGTTGCGGCTGAGCAGCGGTGGGCTCAGCAATGCTATCTAGAAGTTGCTGCCAACGTCTCGTAAGAGCATCTGAGTGGATGAGATATGTATTGGCACGGGCTTTATTGATGCGCTGCGCGGTGAGTTTGTCAAGGCGAACGAGGGACGAGGGGGTCCTCAACATTGTGCTTGGAGAGAACTTCACTATGGGTGTGTCCAGTGAGGAACGAACGATCCCTTATAATCATGCGCAGTTGCTTCGTGATTGCAGAAATTTGTCACGCCCTTCTTTGCTGAGGCCGGTGCTCGGAAGTCCATAGCAGGCGGCGGTAAGGCACACACTTCCTTGCAGTTGAAGTCTGAGGCGGGTGGGGAGCTTTCGGGGTTTTCAGGGTATGGCTCAGTCTGTTAAAGGCTATCCAAATTTGCTTCAAGCGATAGCGCAGAGTCTGCACTTCAAAATTTTTGTAAGAGAGGATGATGCCTAGGTAAGGATGGGACTCGACCATTGGGCGGTGAATGGTATCAACCTGATTAAGCCTTACAACGAATAATCGTCGCCCACGAATGCGCGTTGTGAATGTCTTGGCTATCTGGTGCGTCCGAGTGCCCCACCAACTGTGCAGTACGCCCGTCTTGGCTGTACAAACTTGGAGTTTGTAGGCCTTCAGAAGACGAAAGAGAGCCGACATGTGAGTTGGTATGGCTTTCAGTCCGGCCTCGTCATGGAATCGCCATTCATTGTACAAGGATGTCATGCGCAAAGAGGATGTGTGCTCCCGAAGGCCCGTGAAATGTGAAACCCTGGTCCCCCGAAGGCGCGTGAAGTGTGAAAATGTGGTCCCCCCGAAGGCGCGTGAAATGTGAAACCCTGGTCCCCCGAAGGCGTGTGCAATGTGAAACCCTGGCACACTGACAAAAACGCCCCTTGCGGCCCCCAGATTTGGCCCCCATCCCCTGCGGCCCTCCAGATTTCACATTTCACGCCCCGCTGCGGCAACCAGATTTCACATTTCACGCCCCGCTGCGGCCCCCAGATTTCACATTTCACGCCCCCTGCGGCCCCCCAGATTTCACATTTCTCGCCCCCTGCGGCCCCCCAGATTTCACATTTCACGCCCCCTGCGCCCCCCCAAGTTTCACATTTCACGCCCCCTGCGGCCCGTCTGTTCGGGTTTCCGGGCCCCGAATTCGGCCCTTTCACATGGCTTCGCTCGGTTCGGACGCCCCTCTTCCCTAAACCCTAGACCCTGCCTCCGAGCCAAGAGGTGGAGGACGAAGATACGAGCAGCTCACGAGCACCTGCGCAGAGCGCAGAGAGAAGGCTCGGGGGGTCTTGGGAAAGGAAGGGACGCAGCACTCCTCGACCGCGAAGCCGCACGAAACAGAAGCACTCAGAAACCCTTCACCCCACCTCTGCTGGAAGATGTCGAAGAAGCCGAAGGTCACGACGTGCACCTGGTCGCAGGAGAGGGGCCCGGGGTTCCCGGGAGGGGAGAGGAGGCGCACGACACTTTAGGTTACAGGTGGGCGACAGCGCAGGGCACTCATGACTCCTACCACCTGCACGCTGTCCGAACCTCGCTGCCTCGGAGCCCGCACCCTGCCAAAACCCAAAGAAACCCTGACACGGAGCGGGAGCAGGTCTACTTCGACAATGGGACGAGGGGGCTCTGCGCACCATCATCCAGCAACAGAAGAAGATCACCCGAACCACGAAGGAGCTGGGCTTCAAGAAGCTCTACCAGATCCTGATCGTGATCGACGACTTCGCGGATCAGCCGGAGCTCCACCGCCGCACCGGCGACGGGGCCCTGGACACACTCTTCATCCGCGGTCGCCACACGCAGATCTCGACCTGGGTCTCCTCCAGAAGCTCCGGCTCATCAGCGCCGCCGTGCGGGTGAACATGCAGTTCATGTGCGTCTGGCGCCTCCGCAACCAGCTGGAGCTGGAAGCCGTTCTGGAGGAGCTCACGGCCCTGCTGCCCAAGCAGGAGCTGCAGGCCATCAAGAAGCGACGCGGGAGCCCTTCAGCTTCCTCTTGGTGTAGATGAGGTCCATGTTGCGCGCCCAGAGCCCGATGAGGGCGTTCACCGACAGCTTCGCGTAGTGCTCCTCTCCCTCCGGCCAAGCCGCCTCCATCTGCTGCAGGGCCTGGGTCACGGACTCCTGGTCCAGGCTCCACACGAAGTCGTTGTCGCATCGTAAAGGAGCGGGAAGGCCTGGAGCTTCATGTAGGTCAGGTCTGCCAGGTGCCCCTCGCGGGCTTGCTCCATGTTGTCCTTGGGGCAGAAGATGGGGTGCCGGGAACCTGGCGTGGGCCAGGGCGTTCTTGCGGCACCGGACCACGTCTATTCCGTGACAGATCCGCTCCGGCTTGTGGCTGTTGAGCTTGAAGAAGCGGGGGCAGCCGGGGCGATTCCACGTAGGCCTCGTAAGCCCGCCGGCTGAACCGGTCTGCGACAGTGAGCGCCACCACGTCCCAGCGTCGTGGACGGCCGCGGCAGATCTCGGACAGCACGGCCTCCGAGAAGTCGACGGGACGGAGCTTCTTCCGTCGTAAGAAAAGGATGTCGACAACAATCTACGTGGACTCCCGCAAGCGAGTCGCGGGGGACGACTCCTCTTTCGAATTTGACATCGGGGAGACGCTCCACCTGCAAACCGGGGCCAAGCTCTCGATCTTCAAGATGCGCGTCGCCGACGCCTTCCTCCACGGATCGGGGCCAATTCCTCTACTGGATCGATGAGGCCCTGCAGACCCTCAACTGGGCGGCGCTGCCGGTCGGTGCTTACACGCTCTTCCCCGCACCGGCTCCTATCCCGCGGGGGCAATGCCCACCCGCCCCCTCAGCATCAACCACCTCCTGGGCCCGAGCTTCATCGAGGGCGCCCTGCAGATCTTCACCTTCGTGACCATGAATCCGTACTCAGAGCTAGCCAACGCCGCGGATATCAAGGGACCTTTGGGTCAGGATATCTTGTGCAAATGTATCATTAACGCGGGGCTTGGCTTTGTGATGTCAACCAGAACGGACGAAGGGCATTTCGTGAAATTGCACGGCCCCATTACCCTGCGCACCCTGCGCTTTAAGTTGACAGATGTCGACGGCAACACGGTTAATACCCGCAGGACGAGTGTTTCCTGCGATTTTCTTGGATTATGACCAATAAAAAGAATCCTTAAAAGAAATGGCTGACAATGCGGAACCCCCCGTGGCGAAGCCTCAGGCTGAGCCCTCGGCTCCTGACGCTGCAGAGTTTGCTGCAGAGCCTGCTGGAGAGCCTGCGGCAGAGCCTGCTGCAGAGCAGTTTGCTCCGCAACCCGTGCCGGAGCCGCCGAAACCCGCCGAGCCAGCCCCAGCCCCCAAGCGGAGAGGCAGACCTCCAGGTTCGAAGAACAAGCCAAAAGCCCCGAAGACGGTGCCCGCCGAAGAGGCCATCGCAGCACCGGCTCCCGAGCCCGCGCAGCCTCCGAGCGCTCCGAGTCCGGCTCCCGAGCCTGCCCGCCCCGAGCCCCCGGCCGAGCCCGTTAGGATGACGCCTGCCCAGGAGCGGGCCCTGCGCCAAGACCGGTACATGGAGCTGCTCGCCCGAAACACACACGAACTATAAAGGAACGATGATGCCTTTCGAGAGGCGCAACGAACCCCTAATGCTTCGGCAGTTCAGCAGGATGTACCCGAGCTACAACCTCAACCCGCTTCTCCGGCGGCGGCACCGCATGGCGGAAGCCGTCAACCGGCGGATACCCCAGCTGCGTTACGCGCCGGCGGAGCGGCAGGGCATACAGCGGATGGCGCGGGACGTGGCCGCTGGCAGACACGCAAGCGACTCCCAGGTTTACGGGAGGCTGCTGTAGTAAATGGAGGAGCACAGACGCAACGGCTTCCGCGTGAAGCCCAGCTTCGGCCAAGTGCTTGGCTACTTTTTGACTTTGAACGCAGCAACATGCCATGCGTGGGTTCAGAGCACTGAACATTGTCAGCGCGGCCCGAGCACCTTTGATGTGCATATCTAAAGCA